TTAGCCAAGAGTACATAGAATAGGATTGATTTCATAGCGTCAAATAGGACAAGAGATAAATTCTCTCAACAAATCCGAATGTGCAGCTGTCTGTGAAATGACGGCCAGTTAGACGGAAACTTGTACCTGAAGAAACGACAGATGAGTTGAAATTCAAACTACTTGACGAGTGAACCCTACTTGCGTGCAGCATCTACTCGGACAGTCTGCAACAAGATTCATTAGTACAGAAGATATGGATGATCACTGTAACTTACAGTCTTTCTTGCTTCAATGCCAATCAGAGTCAGAACAGTTTTCCGGAAAACTGGGTTCAAAGAGATGGTGAGAACAGACTGTACTAGAGAGCTAGAACCCAACATTAACGAGCAACCATAAACTACAGCTGAACAATTGGAAATGCAGAATAACTTCGGTCAATTCAAACTATACTCAAACTTATAGGGAGAAAAAGCGAAAGGGTTATTGCGACAGGAGCACAGCAAGATATTGATGCGGTACAAACCCCCTTGAAGACCAGTTATTTCGAAACAGAGCCAAAACTGGGATTACCTGGATCGTTAGAACCTTCAGCGCTTTTAGATGATGACTGGATGCTCCGGTAGACATGAGGCTTTGTTTCTTATGAATAGTACGAACGATCTCAAATGCAATTAACACAAGGAACTGAAAGTCATGAATGAGGTTCAAAGATTTACCATCAGCACGAGACTGAGGTGAACTTACTACGAGGGCTAATAGAACCATCGAAACGAAATGTACCGGATAAATTATTTCTTTGAAAGTCTTTAGTTTATAAGATGCAACGGTCCTCATTGACATGTAATCCAACTGCTCCTGTGAAAGCTGAAATCACTTTATATGAGAGGATGACCTATCCCCTGATGAACTCACATTGAACGGAAGGCTACTGGGGTCAAACTTACTATATCCAATGTAGAATAATAGAGACGATACGAAAGAAAATGCGACTTCAATAACAACACAGAAAATAGGGAACAGATAAGGTGTCTGGACGTACGAGAAGGTAGATGAAGCTGAGAAACTGACACACACATACCCTAAGGATGTGAGTTTGATCAACTATCAAGTACAACCTGAACAAGTAACTACAAGCGAGAGTGAAACCATATGTTCCGAAGATGAAGCACATAAGTGCGTAACCGTTTGCACATGTTAGACCTATTAGGTGACAGTATCCTTCACAGTAGAAAAAATTATAATTAAAGTGAAACATGAACTTCAAAAGAAGAGACCATACGATACAGAACAGGAATAGGATTGTCTGCAAGACAGAACTCAAAGAGAACGGAAAACGCCAACTTACTCCTAGGGAGTGCATCAATATCTTATAGTAGTAAGATTCCTTACTTGGAGGTGACAAGTAGATAATCAGATAACTGAGACCGTAAGCAACACTGGTACAAACTACCAGAATATTGTGAATCGTTCCAAATTTTTCATTATCGGGCAACTTATGATTGAATAGATAGGAGTCATAACTGGACATGACAACGATGAAGTTCAATTCGCATTCGAAGGAGCCGAGTTATCTGCAACCTGATTATTCTGATAAAAATGACGCCTGGAATCTATGCATACATCAACAGCAGACAGCTGCAACTACTCTAGTTCACTTTCCAACGACTAACTGATTCATATGAATATTTTTTTGTCCGTTGAGCTTTCATATGCCTATGCGCATTCAGAACCAGCTCACATTGTTTCAAAAAGAACAAAAAATAATGAAAATTGGTTGAGAATCAGGAGAGTTCTGAGATTCCGAAGTTCGCAGGACGACGCCGCGCATTTTTTATTTGCGCGATGAAAATGAAAATTAACAAGTTTTATTCCCCACTCCGCCGAGGAGTCGAACGGTCGTGCACTT